ACTGCTCAGTTCCTCTCTACTGCTTGTGTCCTCGTCATTTTGTTCATTCCCGTAAAGGGGTTAAAGGTCTATCAGACTATGTGATGTCTTCCTCTTTTGTCTCTAGCAGGGGGTCAAAGAGCTAACGATTTTCCGTGTGAACAAACCGAAATGGAGGGAGGGTGACAACATATGTGGCGAATGTTGCATGTTGCAGATATTTTCAGATTCAAAATAGCTTTGACCTTCATTAGCAGCAAACTTTTTGAAATATGTGTAATATCTATCCAGCCTTTGAACTACAATCTCTTAAATTAATCACTTGATGCAGGAATTTGAGCATTTTTCCTAGTTCTGATAATATTGTCTCGAACATACGTTATATTATCTTTGTCATTTTTATTAACCAAAGTTTATTTACTACTACTATTATTACTATCATTTTAACAACTATCGTTGTTATTTATATTGTTGTTGATGTTGTCATTATTTTGGTAATAAATATTGTTGATATCTCGTTGTTTCTCCTTTAACATCAATTTTACCAAATGACATAATACTGAAGTAATGTTTATTTAGCAACAATCACTCACGAAGCTTACTCCCAAACTTTTAAATAATGATTTGACAATTAATCTTTTAAATTAAGATTACGTAATCAAATGAACAAGTTAAGAGGAAGTAGTGCCTATAAGCAATAAATCTTCGCATTTAATTTTTCGAAATTCAACGCCATAAAACATACTTTCCCTTTTCTATAACAGTTTTACATTTGATTTCGCAGAATAAAGGTGAGAAAGAGGTATACTAAACACGCCAGATAGAGAATGATATCTCAGATTTGGTTTATTAGGGCTGCACCACTAAAAATCTATGTCATTTTCATTTTTCTGTTGCTTATTTCTATTGTTTATGATACAAGAAATGGAGTATCTTAGGATGAATTAACCTTTGGTGTGTTTGTAGCAGATCAAAGGTTATGCCGTTTATTGTTCCAACATTGCACCTTTATTGAAATTTAAGGGTTTAACTGAGTTTCGAGAGTTACTTCATTAGGGATTTTTTCATCTTCAAGGGACTGCCTAACGTTAGTTATCTGTGTCGGCATCCGAGTTTGTTGCCGGTAAGAAAGTTGCCCAGTATATCGAAAGTGTAGTGCACCCATATTTCTGTATGTGTGTGTTTTTTTAAATTGAATCTGTCAAAAAGCATAAATTTTTACTTTTTTCGGAATGATATAATAAATTACCAGTTGCGTATAAACGAGCCGCGCACAATATAATAATTACAGATTTGTTGTGTTAATATTGTTGTTAAAGATGGGATGTTTAAGTTTGAAATACAAATGATGATCATTGTACATTTGTAAACAGGAAGTCAATCATATTTAATTTATTAATGTCTTTATTCTGGTTGTTTTTGTTTCTTGTTTTGCTTCTTGATGTACTTATATCTCCTTTATTGGAGATACTCAGATCAGACCTTTACTCAGTATATTTTGATTTTCAAGAACAAACTCGTCAAGAGCGGCTTGAAAAAAAAAATTCTTAATTAAGACTTACTTTTGTTGGCAGTGCTACTAACTGCATGTTGCTAGATTGTTCCTAAAATGGTTAACTATTAGGAATGGCACAATAGTCAAAATGGCTTGTTTACTTGAATTAATAGATTTATGTGGTGTGTAGATTAGCGTTTGAAGTTACATTTGCAAGATGCTTAAGGAATAATAGGTTTGAGGTTCTAGTGAAGTAAAGAAGTGATGGTATTGCTTAGGCAATGACTGTATTGTTTATATGTGTCTCATGTGTTATAGAATGAACTCAACGAATAGTAGTCATTTTCTTCCTGTCTCACCAAGCAAACCTTAAGTATGCAGAAATGTAGGTTGCATGAAACGAGTGCAGATTTCAAGATTGATTTATATGTAGGATTTGCTTTGATCTTCATATACACCACTATAAAACATTTCAATATAACCCAAGACAATTGATTCACTGCTATGAAAATAGTTTTATATGACAGTAATTACGTCTGAAAAAACGGCAGGAAAGTTATATATATTCTTAATGCCGTAATGAAGCATAAAAAAATTATTTTTGGTGTGTGTTAAAATCACCGTTCCATGGTATATCTCCTCTTATATGCTACTTGCATCTCATTTTTCACGCCTACTTCCGCTTTCTTCTCCATCAACTTCATCTACATTACACTCCTCACCACTGTTTCTTACCTCAAACATTAGTACTTAATACTGATTTATTTCATGGGCACAACATACAAAGTAGTGCTGTAACATAGCATGGTTGCGCCTAATTGCTCTAATAAAAATAAGTTTACATTCACTGTCTTAATGAAATTCAGTTAAATAGATGTTGCAAATTACTGAGAGTGAACTGACTACTTCAGGAACTTCCGTAACTGGTAGTACAAACAGGTATTTTTAGAAGTGTAGTTATTATGAACATATTGACTGTTGCAGGTTTGAGCACACTGTTAAAAATAAATAGATATGAATGTGTGAATTTGCTTTTATTGTTATTTTGGGATAGTACAAATCAAATATAGCTCAGTTTTTAGATAGACGGAAAAGCGTACGTGATAGTAAAAATACTGTTACAGAAAGCTTGTATTGAATTTAATTTTGGTCAAATTTGTTCATATTAATGGTTGCTATTGCTTTCTGGAAGCTAAACACTTGCTTTCCTTACCGTAGTAACTACCTTGCTGTAGTGCTTCCTAATAAAACTCTGTAATTTAAATACATGACACTTCTTTATGAGGGTAGCAACATTATCCACTACTTACCTCCTCCTCTCATTTTCTTTTTTCTTTTTCATTCTTCTAGTTCTGTTCAGCCATTTTCTGCCATAGCTGTTAATTCCCCATAATTTATAACTCTTCTTCTTACTTCACACGTATCTCCTCCTCTAGACTCGACTGTTGCTACAAGTAGTTGACTGCATTCATCTGTACATGTGAATTAACTATTTGTAGTAACTATCAAATCTGCCCTTCACTTCCGTCCCTTCCACCTCTTCTTAATAACGCTGTCATCCGTTACAAATTTATACCTAATACTTAATACTCGCTTGACGCAACTTCCATCATCACACTCATTTTGTTTTCAGCTTCTAATCATTTTTATCTACAACCAAGTCTGTTTATATCTGTGCATTGCTAATTTTTGCTAATTATATGATTTAGCAATATTTAGCAATGCCCAGATATTTTGTAAATACAGTGTGCATTAAATAAATTACATCTAGCTGTCTGTTGAATATTATATATTCACTCCATAATCTCAACTTTTTCGACTTTTAATATTACGCTGAAAATAAATAAGTACAGAGGATGATTTAATTGCCACATATCTTATTCTTTTCATAGTTTTCGCATGGCATAAGTGGAAATGTTCTCGGGTCATAGGGCATTCACGTTAATTGCCCTCGTTAGTCGAGCATTGTAAGATCAGTCAGACAAGTAAGAAATGTGAATCCTTATCATTCGGGATTATTTGCCTTCTTTGGAATACAAAGGTTCAAGATTACAAATATGTATTTGTTTTTTGCATAGCTTTGCTTTTTAACAAACCAAAAAACTTGCTTGCATAAAAAACAATCGTTTTCTTTATCATTAGTGATGTCATTATTATCACTATTATCATAAAAATTATTATATAGTTGGTATTCACTTACTGCTTATTTCTCAAAGTTTTCGCAGGATATTGATAGGTTTTAGAAATGTATGACAATTTGTCTTTGAATTGCTGGCCATCTGTTGTCTACCATTCTCAGATTCACCCGAAATTATTATCCTTTTCTTTCTGTATAAGATCAAAGGAACATTTCTTAAAACAGTAATCTCATTTTTCAATATTAGATCATAACAAATTCCATGCGGAGATTAGCATTTATCCCCGAATAACAAAATTCTTTAACGTTTCATTTATTCATGCATTAATACATTTCACACAATTATTTCATATTAAAACTATTGCTTTTAACTAAGTTCGCGTATATAATTTAAATTCGCATTTTTTGATTTTTAATTTGTGTCTTAGTGTGATATTCGTCTTTCATGTATGTAGTCATAATTTTTCTAATTTCCGGAACTTCTAATGAGCTGCTGATTAAGAGGCAACATTTGTATTTTAAATTATTCCATGTTCGTAGACTGCTTTCTATATTCTTGTAACCTCTCTCTCATTAATCGAAATTTTATTATTGAAGATGAAGTCGTTGAAAAGTTATTAATATTTGATAAGATATCATCTGAAACACTAATTTTAGGGCATAAGTCAAATGTTCTCATTTGTTCTTATCAGCGTGCCTTCTCTCAAAATAGTGATAAGTGACGGAATATTCGTGTTTTATGTAGTTACACTTTACAGTACGTACATTAGCATCAGTATTTAATGTCATGTATCATGCCAAGTGTACATGAATGGTAAGCTGGTACGTACGAATTATACAGTCACGCAGTACAGTAAGCTTCGTTAGCTAAGTATGCCATATATGATACAACATGCCAAATACTGCTAATTTTTCAGTGCATCATTTTCCCTGATTCACAAAAATTCTGCAACTGTTGTCGGTAATATTCTATTCCAAGCATCTTGGCGATATATTACCATCATTATCACAACAATCATTATTCAGCAGTATCAGAACATCACAGAGGAAAAACGATCCCAGCCATAGTGACTCTGTGTGTGGTAGTTGGCGCAGCGCTTATTAAGCGCTTCTGCGTTTTGTCACAGACGCAGGAGAATACGTCGACTTCCACACCACACATATACATAAAACTGAATTAACTCCTCAAGTACTGCTAATCGCCTAAGTGAAGTGAAATTAGGGTATTCTCAATTATTTCTGTGACTTGACTGATTGATAAAATTAACTGCTGAAAGTGTAAGCTTCTGAAGTCTTTCTTTATTATTGGTATAAAATAAAGGAAACAAATATTCCTTGTAATTGCATTACATTATTATTATTACTATTATTTTATCATTCCATTAGCAAATGGACAATTTTCGGTGTTCCGAATTTATTAGCGAGTCTCCATCAACTTCATCCTCCGTATTGGTACGACCATCATCGGCATCGACATCTACAAATGCTTCCACGTCCTTAATATCACCAGGAAACAGTAGTTCTGCAGTTATACCCTCACGGCAGAGTTGTTACAGTCGTCATCATCAACGGCATAGGCAGCAAGCAATACGACGTCGTGGTACTAAGAGCGATATAGGATTAATACGATCACCAGTAGATGATGACATGAAATTGCTTCTTGGACAGGTTTGCCATGTTTTCTGGCATGTCTGAAAGTGCAGTTGATAATACTGGAAGTAACTAATAAGGACGCAGTTTACATGAATAATGTATTTTATCAGTGAAGATGCTATAGCGTGAATGTTTTAATACTGGAGATAAAATTGAGAGCTCTTCACTGTGTAGGATAATACTATTTCGCATTTTTAATATTGAGATCATTCTACCTTAAATATTAGCAGCAGTCTAATCAATTACTCAGGCATGTAGTCTTAATATATGATTCTATTTTTGACATCGTATTGGCATGGTTGGTTATGGATTAGAAATTTTTAGTTAAAGATTTGCATAAGTTCACTCTGATTTTTATAACAGAAATTTAAATATAGTTTATTTATTGAATCATTCTATTCACTGGTCTGTTCATTGTTTGCTTGATGGGTTTTAGATACCTGTGAACAGAAAAAGGTCTTCAACGACGGAACGCTTAAATACTGCACAATGGCCAAGCGTCCTACCTCTAGCCGACAAAACTGTTCATTGTGTATGGTTTAAGAAATATCTTTCAATAATGTAAAATCCATTAAAACAGATTTTCTATCTTTTTCTGACTTTCAAGACTTAAAAATTGGTTTGGCTCATTTTTTGCTAATTATAGTACTGCTATAATTATTCAGTTGTTTATCATCCTTCATTTTTTAATCATCTCAGACATATTGTAGGATGATCGTTGCTTAGAAAACATGTTTAAAGCTCAAAGTATGAGACCGATGCTTGGGAATTGTTTTATTACTATTCAGAAAGACATAACTGCTCATCATCGCCAACAAGTTATTGATTGGATTTATGATGTAAGTATCAAGTGCATTTAAGATATTTTATACTTGACTATTTATTATTTAAGTTTTGCTAGAGAGTTGATTGCTACTTTCTAATCATGGTTTTTTTTTTGTATTCGTGAATTAGCTGATACAAATGTCATACTATAGTAGCAATATTGCTGTCATTTTATAAAAGTAATATGTAGTCTGCGTTATCTGCGTCAATATTCAGGTATGTAAAGAAGAGTCCTGCGAGCCTGACGTCTTCGTGCTTGCCGTTTCATTAATGGACCGTATTTTGTGTCTTCATCCATTTGAACGTAATAAATTACAAGCAATTGCGGGTGCTTGTTTATTTGTTGCAAGTAAAGTCAAAGCACCCATACCTTTGGATGCTGATAGAATAGCTTACTATACTGATGGTGCCGTACGAATGGATCAAGTCTTGGTTGGGATTTTTTTGATCACAATTAATTAAATTCATTAATTGGGTTTCTTTTCTGTGAAGTGTCCCGTGTTGGGTGAACACTATAGTTGGTAATATTAAAAAATATATATCTGAGTTATTGATTAGAATTTTGAAAGTCATTGCGTAAACCAAACATTTTATTTTACAGTCTTGCCGAAGTCTGACAGTTCAGAAAGAAAGGCAGTACATATTGTAACATTTAAAGAACAGAAAATAAAATTTTGTACCAAATCTTTAAAAATCTGGAAATAAATAATAATATTTCAGCAAGGTGAATTGCTTGTGTTGAATAAATTGAATTGGGATGTTTCTACATCAACAGCGCTAGACTTTCTTGATCAGGTTGCAGCCCGGTACAGTCAGCTACATCCCCTATCGGAAAATTGCCGTTACTCAGTACATCGAATACAACTAGGTTATTTTAATTTTCATTAACATTTAATCAGTTAAACATGCATGCTTGCTTGTAATCAACCTTCTGTCTCATACTGATCAGCTATCCTTGTTTCGTTGTAAGCTTCAGCTGTAAACGAAAATCACAATTTGGAATCATCAATGAGTATGAGTGTCGGGTACTGATTGTTGAGAAAAGGTGAGATAGATAATGAAAAAGACGTGAGCGTAAGTAATACTTTTGCCCTTTGATGCATAAGGAATTTGCAGTTGAACAGTACAAAGAATTGATGGGTCAAGTAAAGATTGTTTGTGTTGGCATATTTTGTAAGGGTATTTAAAAACCATCGTACTTTCCATTTAAGAAAAAGTGCGTGAAGTTAGTCATCTGCATTGCACTAGAATACAAGGCTAGTTAGTTGCCTAGTAAAATGCATTCAAAAGTTTCACTTTGTCATCAGTAGAAAGCAAATGAAGAAGACGTATTAGTGTTAATCATAGGGAGTAAATCAGAGTCACTGCTTGTCAAGGAAAAAATGATCTTTATGTATTATTGATTGCTAGGTTAGGGTTTTTTTTCTGTCTGACAATTTCTTTGCACAATCAACGAAACCTCAAATAAAACGGAAAGAAAGGATATTATGCAATAAGGTGGTGTTGTTGTGCTCAGGTGGAAATTCCTTCCGTTCCGTTGTTCACAACTATTACTTCGTTCGGTTCATTGAATTTTGAAGAAAAAGAAAATTGCCATTAAATTTGGGTTTTCTGTTGCTCAACATAAATTGTTTGGTTACAAGGTAATTTCCGTAGATTTTTGAATTGAACATAACAGAGGGGTTATCAGCAAATCAGGAATGGGTCAGCAAAGTCAGTCAGTTGATTTTTTGTCAGGTTTTCTACTCTCTGTTCTTTCAAAGCAGCTTCACCGTATATGAGGTCTGTAACTATTGTAGTTACCATTATCCCATTCCGCAAATTTGTTTGTTTTGTATTTTTTATTTGACTAATTATAATAAATTTGTAAATAAGATAAAGAAGGAAAGCAAGCAACAATAATGATGATAATAATAAACAAAAATAGTTGACTGAAGAACAGACAAAAATGATAGGAATTTTGGGAGAAAGTTAAATTTAATCTTTGCAGTGGAATTTTTGTTGAGAGATTCTTCCTAACTTCCAGCACATCACATATGCAATTTGTTTTCCGGTAGATTTTGCTAACAAAAGACAAAAAAGGAAGTTTGAAGAGATGAGAGTGAAATGTTTGTTTGCTACCAGCCTTGGTGCCCTGGTACTATTGTTCGAAAGCGGTGAAAATGAAGATGATGATGAAAAAAGAGCAGCCAAAAAGGTGCTTTGCATGTTTGAATATTTTCGAAAACAAGCAAAGTTTAAAAAATGCTAATTTCTGGTTGCTTATATGGAAATTAACCTAGACTGTAATTTTGTTTACATTTCTTCCCTCTTTCCTGCTACAATTCCTTATTTTTTTTTCGGCTGGCAGATTTAGTGTAATACGACGGTATTGTATATTTTATAGCAAAAGAAGGGTATTGTGTAATAATGAAGACTGTGAGAAAAAGAAGCAGTATTCTTTACTGATGCAGCATTCAATGTTGAAACATTTCCGGCAAGCGGGGAAAAAAATTCTAGAATGCTTAATGAGAGGAGCTAATGAGATGAAAAAAATGCTTGATGGAATTTTGGACCATTGTTTGTGAAAATTGTTCTCGCGCAGCGTGTGATAGTGTGAAAATTAGTAAAAAAAATATGGAAGCAACGTGGTTCAAAATTCAGGAGTAGAATCCATACATGTTTTGATCTTAGTAGGGCATGAATGATTGCTAAATTATTGGAATAATACTAAGTCGTTTAAATGGAACCATCCATATATAAGAAAGACAAACATGTTTGAATAGAAGATTGCAGAAGGGACTGTATCTGTTATTTTAAATGTGTTTGGTGGAGTTTTTAAAAGAAAAAGGTTATGTCTTAGCAAAAGTATTTATAACTGTGTAGATTTTAATTGTATTGGGTCAGAGTGGTAATTTGCATAAGTAATGATGCAGTTTATTTGGAGGCAACGATCTCTGGAATGTATGCGGTAGTTGGTATCCATGTAACTGACCTGAGTAACATATATCAACAAAGAGTAATAGCAGTAGTTGGGAATGAAGTGAGTATAAGTACACCTAAAACAGGTAGTAACACATCACACTTTGAAAACTTTATGGGAGGTAACGTTTTTAAACGTTGTGTGAGGTCTTTTTACAACAATAACAAAGCAGTTAGTTGACTATTTGGTTGTAGTGCACGTAACTTCTGCTCATTTGACCCTGCTTAAAGCCGAGTAATTGTGATGGCTTCTGATGACAAAAAGAAGAAAAAAGGTAAGATAGGTGCACAGCAAATAAACGCTCTCATTTGCATAACAATTGTTGCCAAGTAAAGGCAAAGAAGGGAAAAAATGGCTCGAGGCCACACACACAGCATTGAATGAATATTTTTTGAGCAGATCTTTTTCAATTTTCAAGAATTTCATCAACTTTTTGTCTCAGAAGATGATTTTTCTTTTTCCAAGATCAAAATTGGGAAAAATATCCATGTTAGTGGCTTATTTGACATAGTAAGGGAATATAAAATGAAGACGCTGCTTAGGCAATTTCCAGTAAATATAAGTGAGAGATCTTATTTATTTACCACATATAGTGAATATAACCGGTGCAAAGGGCGATAACTTACTTTTGTAACATTTGAGATTGGAAACGGGAATCATTTTGCTTTTGTCGGAAATTGTTTTTTGCCAAAAACATTTTTTGTGCATAATTTTTGAAAGAGATTTATAATTTTCTGTTTTTATCATAGTGCTTCTGTTAGTTGCACACTTACTGATGAGTATGCACGACATGAATATTACCTTCTATGTCTTTAAATTTACAGTTATTAAGGGCATGAGTTTGTCGCATTAGAAAGCATTACTTAATTCTTTCGCTTCATCTACTTAATTTTTAGTTTTATCAAGTTTTACCTAATATCAGTATACAGAGTTATCAAAAGTTGCATCAAAATTAACAGCTGTGCATAATAGATAATCTTTTAATCCCATAAAAGTTTGATGGATCAAAATTTTCATAATAAAAATTTTTATTTAAGTAAATGAACAAAGCATACAAGAAGACTGACTATAAATAGTTGTTAAATTTCTGATTGAAAAACCTACTTGTTTGCAAATGTCGATGAAAATATAAATAATTAGATTAAAAAATATATATATAATTTTTTGAGGAAGGTTTCCAATTTTCTTTGTTGTCATTTTACCGCAACAGCTGCTGCTGTTGTGAAGTGAAATGCGCTAAAGATTGAAGGACATTGAGGGAGAGGAACTGTCGCCATAGTAGGGGTTAGGCGCGATAAGATCGTAGTTGAAAGTATTGTACTGAAGGGGTTGATTATTTATTAGCATAAGGTAAGTATAAGTTTAGCTCTCATCATAATTTAGTATAACCTGTAAGATGTGATGGAAACTTCACTCGTATATATATGGTGAGATATGGCTACTTGTCATTATTTTGATTTTGTGCCCACATACACACACATATTCAGTAACAAACTAGCATTACTTTAGTTTTTCAGTTAAAAATACTCTTCTCATTGTTTTACGTTGATGAAATGATGAGATTAGAAGTAAGTCACGGGAAGGTAGACACTGATTGATAAGACAGAGGGAATTATTGCTAAAACAACGGAATGAAAGGTGCTGAAAACGGCATTGTTTACTCAGTTCCGCATATTATATATATATAT